GGACTGCCCCTTGCCGTCCCTGGCAGGGAGCTCACGAGCGAATGCAAAAGAAATCCGCCGTTAGCATCGTGTGTGTTGTTGTTGTTTGACGAACATTTGCGGCGTGAATGTTCAGTTTAATCTGGTCTGTCCGTTTTCAGATCCCCCGCTAAAAGTTTAGGGTTTAGTGGGTTAAGTAGAAATCCCACTAAACACTAAAAAGCTAAAAGGCTAAGGGGATGGCTGGGAGCCACCAAGAAATGTTTTCGCATTTGTGACTTGTTCAGGTCCAAACGGTGTGTGTCTATTTGTTTGTGAGAGAACACAAAGAGATACACAGTACTTCTGGGTTTCTTTCACTCAGCCAACTCAATTGGTCAACCCCCAGTTGCTCGCTTGCGCTTTGGGGACCCAGACATATTTCAGGTAATCACCTTTTGGGCCAAGACGAATGGACCAACAAGGCAGAAAAACCCAAAGCTCAGATCAGATGGGCAAGTGGGTCATAATCAAAACCTGGTACTTCAAAATGGTGAACCCGAAAAGACCCGGTATTAAAATAGTCTACCCAAACACCATGCGAAGAGTTAAATAGGCGGATATCCGCACCCGTGTCTGGTTGGGTTTAGCCGTTACAAACCTTCAACTACCCGGGTTCTGGTTCTGGCCCATTTGTTTGTGTGTGTGAATGTGAACTGTTCAGGTGTGTCTACTTTTGTGGGGTATCCCTCCAACATGGTGGAGTTCCTATGTGTTTTTTGTGTTTGTGTTTTGTTTGTTTAAATCATTATTACTATTATTATTATTATTATTATTCTTACTTTAAACACACACACACACACCAACAAAACACAAAAAACACAAACAGGGGTCCCTTCCCCTCCAAACACAGGGACCCATGATCCTTTCGACCTCCCCGCAAAACAACAACAACACCATATAAATGTTGGGGTCCCAAACCCAAAGAAAAGCGAGGGAGCCATTTGTCTAGGGGTTGATTCCAACCATTCGTTTCAACCATCGCTCTTTTCAAAAGCCAGCAGTTCCCCTGGGTTTTTGATGGTTTCCTGAAGAGAAGGTAGCCCTTGGCGTGATGAAAAAAACATGAAGTTGGGGTTTCCCGAACCCGAAAAGAGCGAGGGAGCCCTTTGGGTGATGCCAAGCCTTCAGCAGAGAGTCCAAGTCCTGGCGTCTTTGGCTCAGAGGTATCGACTCCTCCGCCTTGACGAGCGAGGTGAACGAGCGAGCCACTCGGGGGGGAGGGGGGGGGGTTGGTCAACAAAAAATATTTGGATGCGCTTTGTTTACGTTATGGTCCATATGGTATTAATAATAAACATATATAAACATAGGTTACTACGCGGGGCATTGCTAGATGCAAGAAAGCAAAGGGGTACTTGATGATGACAGGCCAAGTTAATATGGCATTTAGGGCCTCCAGGTTTGACCGGCTTTTTGAGGGGTTGTATGGGGCTAGACACTTTTTGGAGATATGGAGGTTGATCCATAGTCGTTTGGGGCCCACTTTGTTTTGACCTTTCCAATCAGCTCTGATACAATCAACTGAGGACTCAAACAAACAAATCACGCTCCTCCCAGCACCAACAACTGCTCTCAACAGTCTGGGCTGTGCGTTTTCAGATCCCCTGCAAAAGGTGACTAACTTTTCGTTTGTTAAATTCGAAAACCCAACCACTAAACCAATTAACAGGATCTAAAACTCACTTGCCCAAAGGACCCAGAAGTAACAGGTTTACCTTTTGGCACCTCCACTAAAAAAGGACCAAAACGAGAAACCCACATGTCAAAAGGTCGGCTTTGGGCAACTGAGAAAAAGCTTTCTGGAAAGGGATGGCTGGGAGCCACCAAGTCAATATTCCATTTAGGGCCCGCCCAGTTCAAGAATGGGTAACTTTGCCCCTTGAGTTGGGACATTGCGTATCTTGCTTTGGTTGCCTAACAAACCAATGGTCAGCTCATGTAAAGGACCAGTTGATCCAATTCCGCTGAAGCATGTCGTTGCCCCCTTTCGCCGCGGTCAAGAGTACTTGGCCTTTCGCTCCGTCGAGGCACACTTGGGCTTTTCGGACTCGAGCAGCGCTTCCAGCGGTTGGCGATTGTCCGCTCGCCAAAACAAGGCCGCAATCCCAAGATGAAACGTGCAAGGACGCCGAAGGCCCGACATATCGCGTCTGGCGACGATCATAGGCAGGTGGCCGCTTGAAAACGCACATGATCTTGTGCGGACACTGCAGTACCTGTTGCAATGGACAAGTCGAGCTTCGAGGCCCAGTCTCTCTTTGGGGTCACAGAGACCAGCCGTAAGAAGCCGTTCCAAGCAACTTGGTTCAGGTATCATCGGGAAGTTTCAAGCAGGAAATGGGCGGGCCATTGGGGGTTCATGTGCTACTACACCCAGTATCTGATAGTTGCTCCACTATGTGTGTCAGGTAAAGATGATGGGATTTTAAGTGAATCCGGATTATATGGTGAAGAATTGGGAGCTTGTCCCAATTTATCCCAATCCCCAAATGGACCATCGACCAATCAGGATTTCTTGACCGAACCTCATTTAGGTGACTATGTGTCAAAACAGGGGACCCAACAAATGGTTCTGGCATTTCTTGTTGGTTGCCCTTGCAACCCAGCCGACAAGGGTACCCTCAACAAAACGCACACCCAAACAGTACATAGCTTGCTGGTGCTCAGTTGAACATGAGTTGGAATGATTCCTTGTAGTTCCATAGGGGTTACCCCTGCGATCCCCAAACCCTTCATTTAGTTCAGCTCTCATTTGAGGGGTTTGAGAATAAAATTGGAAGGGCATCCGCTTGAAGGACACGACGAGAACCGATGGTTCATTGGTCATATCATCCGTCTCAATGTTCTACCCAGGGCTTCAAGGCGATATAGTTGCAACCAAGGGGTAACCACAATGTAAAGCGAGACACAAATACGTGCCATGGGGTTCAGTTACCGCCACTAAAACCATGGGGTTCATATAACCACCAGTGCTTACTTAAAGATTGCCGTTGAACCCGAGGGCGTGGTTATATAACTGGCAGTGCTGGGTTAGACAATCTGGGAGTTCACCCCAGACCCGCTGTACTTCTTATTCTACCGACCATTTAGCGATCACTCCCCGACCGTCGAATTGCTGGGTCCCGGCACATTTTTTTTGGGTGCCTCGGGGATGGTTTTCCGATCGACTTCCATGGATCAAGAGAGTGTCTGTTTTGGGCTTGCTATGCTGGTGTTTTGTGGCTTCAAATTGGGATCTCCTAGAAATAATAACTCTCTAGGGATTGATTCCCCATTCTTTTCAGCCATCGTTCTTTTCAAAAACCAGCCATTTCCCCAGGGCTTCTGGTTGTTTTCTAGAAAGAAGGATCCCTGGAAAGAATGGGGAAGTTACCCCTAGAAACTCACTTGAGTGGACGGTCCCAAACAGAGTCCGAGCTCGTTGTTCTCCACTGACATAGCCACGAAAGTCCAACTGAGAAAGTGAGAGACAAACCCATGGATTTAGCTCGGTAAAAAAAGAATGGGGGTTGATCAACATCCCATTTTGGGCCCCCAGTTTGGACCATGGCTCACTTTTCCCATGTGGGAAGTCTTCCATCTTTTTGGTAAACCCCATGTAACATGTCCCATTTGGAATTGCTCCAAATGTTCATATCATTTTCCGAGTGGATGGCCCAAAATAAGCCTGAACTTTGTCCTTACCACTAAACTGGGCTGCCCTCAGATCCCCCGCTAAAAATGTGACTAACTTTTAGTGGGCGAAATTCGGACACTAGCATTAAATTTTGGTCTTTCCAAAAAGTACAAAGTCCAGAAACTCAGGCAGTGAGTCATCCCATGTTCATCGGACCTTGTAATCAACTCCCAACAAATTGACGCAGCTGAGCTCCCCACGAGGACCCTGAAATCGAAGCCCCAGGTGGCATAGTCCGGCCTCGATCAATGGGGCGATCTGGGTCTGACTTTTTAAGGGACCCTTTGGTGGACATGAGTTACAAATGGGGATCATCCACCGGTTTGCTAGTACAACTCATAGCCATATAGCCGCGAAGGCTCTTGTTTATCGAAAAAAAAAAAAAAAAAAAAAAAAAAAAAAGAGAGAGAGAGAGAAGAAGACACCCATATCGTCCAACACGAGCAAAAGGAAGGCCGGACGGCTGGCCAATTCGCATGGTCCCACGCAATTTCTGCAGGAATGTCGATCTTTTTGGTGGTTTTCCAAACAGTCATCTCATGTTCATCGGACCCTCTGATCAGTCCCTGCGCTTGCTTCTTCAAAAAGTTTAACCTTTTGTGGGTCCAACGGAAGTTCGCAAAGTTTCAACCGAAAAGCTGAAGTCCAAAGATCCGTTACCAAACAGCGATAAAGACGCAGAAAGAGATGGGCAAAACGCAAGAATTGCGTAAAACGCTCAAAATTAGAGGTGTTCCTTTTGGTTCCCCTTTAAGCCAGCCAGCCAGTTCGAGTTGAAGCATCGTCAACAACTCGGTATCAACAATGAGCCCCATGCCCTCCAGTTGCGTTCGAACGCAGCGATAGGTCGGCACCTGCTTATCAGCACTTGCTGTGAAGACTCCGCCATTTGTTGTTCGATATCTGAGATCCCCTCAGAAAAGGACCCTACATACTGTGGATGGTTACTTGGAAGCCATGGGAAACCATTTGTTTGTTGGTATTGACAGGCCAATCATCATTCGAGGGTTTCTTAGGTGGTGCAGGATTTTGTCCATCCACAGTATGCTAACCTGAGCAAAAAAACAAAGGAGATCCCCGAGCAAAGGACCCTACATAGTGAGCTCATTTGACCCCGACTCGGAACCCTGCTTCCAGCGGGCCCCGCTTTTCACAGGCGAGATGTCGAGTCTGTACTTCCACATCCCCCGCGACTGTCCTAAGGGCAGCAACACTATGAGTCTCAGGGTTTTGTATTACACCCTGGGAATACACTGGGTATTGACCCCATTTAGGCACATGTCCGGATAAAGCCTTGTTATTCTGGGTCATTTCCCGAGGTGTAATACAAAAACCCTCAGAATGAGAGAAGCGATCAAGATTAGTGACAGGGAGTTCTCCCTATCTGGAGTCCTCCAGCGTTTCGCTGTGTAATTTTCAACCGAAAACTCACTGGAGGAGCTTGCCCGTGCCTGTTTACTTCAGTTTCGCCTCAATGCCGGACAACTCAGGCGTCACGATCTTGCCGATGAAGGAAATTGCGCCTTCTTTGTCACTGATGACCTCAGCTCAAACACCCCCTCTACACCAATGGGGGGGCATCGTGATCCCCATCTACATTGACATTTGCATGTTGGAATGGCATTTGTTTGCGTCAACATCATCTTTCCGATGCTGGACCTTTGGTGATTCTGGGCTGTCTATGGCCCTCCTTCCATTGAGCTTCCCTTTACTTGGGGATTGGATTGGTGGAAGTGTTCCAAGGGTTCAATCTTTCGCGCCATCAATCTAAACCGCCAAGTCGGGGATACCTGGCTGTGGGTCAAAAATCAGTGCCCAAAATGGAACACTGCTAAATGGAACCCAGGACTAAAACCCTGCTGTCCCCTGGTGGCTTAATTTTGACCATCACCCAGCTGAATTATTGAAGATACACCACGATGGCAGGCCGGCCGCCGACCTACAATCGCAAGAATCAAGTTCCGGCTGGGACGATCGTTGTGGAGCGGTGCAAACCAACCTCTGGAGAAACATCTTAGTGATGAGCAACCTGACGAAGCAACCAGCAATCGTCCAAATATAGATTGTCTGAGTTTTCCATTCACACCGGTCCCTGTGTGCCATGGTCAAAACTCTCATTTTTGAAGTTACCCGTGTTGACCCCGGCCATGTTAACCCCAGATTAAGAAATCCCTTGTTGATAAACAGGGGGGGGTGGCGTCCCCGTTGAGTGGGGGTTCATTACCGGAGAAACCTCCTCCCAAATATAATGTGGCGGGTTCTGCTTAGCCGGGTTCCCAGTATCTTCCATTTGCTAGTGATAGATTCCCTTTAAAACAAGCGGACATCTTAAAGAAGCATTTCAGCAAATGGGTGTGCACTCTTTTGAGGGCTACCTTGTTGGGGCTGGTTGGGGAAACCAAAAGGACGCCAACCATCTTCCTTCATGGTGGTTTGCCTGTATAGTAGGTAACCACCCAAAAGGAAAATAGCCAAGGTTACCTACTGGAAGGGCTTGCCTGGGATCCACAGGATTCAGGGTCCCCCCCAGGAGACAAACCCAATTGACCAACCCAAGAAATCCTCGTATTAAAACTAGGGGGGCAAGGCAACAACTTCTTGTTTAGGGGACCCCCCAAAAACGTGCCCATTCAAAGCAGACCAGGAAGGCGTACCCTCAAAGCACACCTACAACGTTCTTACCTAGGTCCTCCAGTAGAGAGGTTCGAATAAGGCTACCAACTTGTTTTGTGGTCTATTTTGGGGGGAACCCTCCCAACCAAAAAAGGGTGAGAAAGGGCACCTAGCCGGGGGACCTAGTTACAGAACTCCTGGTAGCTCCTTCGCTCCCTCTTCAAAACCAAAAAGTTAAACTTGGCTTCGTACCCCGCCGCCGGAACCGCTCCCCTCCGACCAGCTAGAAAGTTCATGAAACGATGGCCGTGCTTTTTTCAGGGCGCCCTTTTTGGGGGTGGATTGAAAGAAAAAAACGGCAAACCGTGTTATTTGGGGGGTTCCCACCAAGAAAACACAAACCCCCATTTTGCCATTGTAGTCACCCCTTCAGTGGCAGGTCAAAGGGAAATCACAAGTTTCTGACTCGATTTATCTTTCAGCAGTAACCCCAAAACAATGATTTCCGATTGATGTCCAAACCACTTGATGTCCAAACCACTTCATGTCCAAGCACTTTTCCAACGGCAACCACACGGCAGCCGGAAGCGATGTCCCAAGCTGCGAAGAGGAAGGGCCTGTCGACCGTCATGGGCTGCGCAGGGGGCGGCATGCACCGAGTCATCATCACCGCGCCCGTGGCCGCGGCTGCCACCGTGCCTTCCTGGCAGAAAGAAGTCACCGGGAAGGTCATGATGTGGATCTGAATTTGTGGGGATTGGGATGTTCACTGGGGGTGCCACATGTTAATCTGAAAAAAAAAGGGGATCCCCAAGAAAAGCCATTGTTGGTTGGTATTTACGTTGGAGAATAATTCATTCCAGGGTTTCTTAGGTGGTGCGAAATGGATTTTGTCCATCCACAGTATGGATCTGAATCTTTAGTAAGGGACCCTTTGGTGGACATGATTTAGGTGGAGATTCGTGTCCACCACTTTCGGAGAGGGGATATGCGGCTGTTGGAGATAGTTGCTGGGCAAATGAACGCAGGGCTGTCTTGTTTCAGGAAATGTGCATGAGTTTCAATGAGGGACCCTTTGGTGGACATGGCTTCGGTGAGGAAATTCGTGTCCAACCACTTCGGAGAGGGGTTCCCCCCCAAAAAAAAATCCGGCCATGTCTCGGTGTTCTTCGAATATATATATATATATATATATATGTATAATAAGACAAACAACAAATAATAATAATAATAATAGTCATAGTAATAAAGCACCAACAGGAACTGGGCACCCTAACTTCCCCTGTAAATCGCCCCTGCCCGGGGAAAACGCTACATTTGGGACAAGGTGATGCTTGAAGCCACCCAAATTGGACATGTGGGACCCTGTGTTCGTTTTCCGAAGCGATCGCATTTTGCAAACCAGAAGACAAAGAGCCAACGACAGGCTGGATTGGGTCCCCTACATGCCACTAGGGAAACAAAGGTTGTGTTCGTTTTTGTGGCCCAAAAAAAACACGGCTTCCTTTTGGTTTCCCTTTAACCCCCCCAAAAATAAATAAATAAATAAATAATTAATTAAATAAATAAATAAATACACAAAATAACGACGGGCCGAAAGCGAAGGCTGCGCTGGGTGACCCAAAACTGGTGGCTCCTTGTCCAGGACGAAAACCCACTGGCCACGGGCAAAAGGGGCCCTCGTGCTTTTGGTGGCTTTTTTTGAAGGGGTTGATTCCAACCATTCTTTTCAACCATCGTGCTTTTCAAAAACCAGCTGTTTGCCCTGGGGGTCTGATGGTTTTCTGAAAAGAAGGATCCCTGGAAAGAAGGGGAAGTGTCCCCTAGAGTTTGTGAAGGGAACCACCCTCCCAAGAAAAACCGGGAGCGCTCGAGGTCTGGGACGGTTGATTGTTCGAAGCGGTGAGGCTCGGAGGCTAGAAAAATGATGGGAGAAGCGGGAGAGGGGCGGTGTTTTTGTTCTTTTGTGGCGGGTTGTTTAAATCCTGGGAATTCTGAAACTGGGGACTATACCGTTGCCATTTTACCCCTTGGTGGCCAAGGACCGCTGCTTTTTAAAAAGCCAACGAACGCAGGCAAAACAACGCAAAACAAAAAAAGAAGAAAAACAGAAAGGACAAACATAACAAGAACACCACCCAAAGCCTTCGTTTGGCGGCCAACCTGAGACAAGTGGAAACAGTTGAGCATGCCCCATTCTCAAGGCTGCTCTCGGCACATGTGCGAAACCTGCAAAATGGCCGACTGAAGTGGGCTGCCCTCAGATCCCCCGCTAAAAATGTGACTAATTTTTCGTGGGCGAAATTCGGAAACTACCACTAAATCAGCTAAAAGGATCTAAAAAGCTGAGGAACGGGATGGCCTTCGGCTTCGCCAAGTTAAGAGAGCCGTGCTCCGCTCACTCGAGGGGTACGTCGTGGCGGCAAATCTGGGCGGGTTCCTCTTGGCTTCGAAAACAATTTTTTGAGACCGGAATGTTGGGGGGAAGCTCCGAAACGGGTGGCTTCCTGTACTTTTGGCTCCCTGTAAAACAATGCCTTCTTGCATAACAAAGACGCACCCGTGTGGGTTTGTCTTTTGCTGGTGGAACCCCATCCTTCCTGGGCTGCCCTCAGATCCCCCGCTGAAAGTGACTAACTTTTTAGTGGGTTAAATTCGGAAACTACCCACTAAACACTGAAAGGATCTAAACACCTAAGGCCACCAAGTTGTTTGTTTGGCGTTGAAGGGAAACCGGTCCAAGACTCTCCAGCCATTTTGGGGGTCCCCCTACAGTGGATGGACGGAATCCTGCACCCCTTTGAAACCAAGGTTGATACCCTTGTTTGCTTGTATTTACAGGCCAATCATCATTCGAGGGTTTCTTAGGTGGTGCGAAATGGATTTTGTCCATCCACAGTATGGATCTGAATCTTTAGTAAGGGACCCTTTGGTGGACATGATTTAGGTGGAGATTCGTGTCCACCACTTTCGGAGAGGGGTTATGCGGCTGTTGGAGATAGTTGTTGGGCAAATGAACTCAGGGCTGTCTTGTTTCAGGAAATGGGCATGAGTTTCAATGAGGGACCCTTTGGCATTTGAACTTCGACCCGCTCCTCGTTCACTTCCACTGTGGCTTTGTGCATCACCTCGTCCAGGTGCACTTCCGGATCATCGGACATCCTGGCGAGTTTTGCAGGTGCTCGGAGGGCCAGACTTCGACAAAGCTTTCTTCGACTTTTTTCTAGGGGCTGATTCCAGGGGTTCATGGGGGGAGGGGTTGGTGAGGGTGGGGTTTGGTGGGGGTTGCGGGGGAGGATTCCTTTTCCATTCTTGTCAGCCATCGTTCCCAAGGGTTTTTGGTGGTTTTCTAGAAAAAAGGATCCCTGGAAAAATGGGGAAGTTACTCCTATTTCTTGCTGGCTGAAAGTTGAAAGCAGAATAACAAGTTGAAAACCAAAAAGCCAGCAAGTCAACATGTTATGCTAGATAATCCCTCGGTGCTTTCGAAGAAACCTACAGGCAAAACGAGAAGTTTGCCTTAAAACCCTTTGCATGGTATTCGGCGAACTTCCTGTCCTGTGTAGCTGGCTTGTGTAAATGTATTCTTTCAAGACAGGAAAGCTGTGTCCGCTAGCAAAATGCTGACAGAACCCATAGAGAAGTTGCGCCATGACATCTAACGTATGTGGACATGACTAGAACGCAGCACATACTGGCACATTGTACGTATGATATTGTGTTTAATTCATGGCATTACATGGGCATGTGCATCAGTATGGATCCCTCAAAATGGTTGGCATTTGTTTGGCTTCCCTTGAAAACTATTTAAACTGGGGTCCAGTGTTTGAGAATATGTGAGACATCCCTCCCTGCAACTCAACCATGCAAGAAAGGCAGCACGCCTTTCATCCTGTCCCCAAATTGACTCGGGCTTGCCTTTTTTTTTTCTCGGGGAACCCTCCTTGGTTCAAATAAAGCATACCCTTCCTCCAACTAACATGGCATCTGTGGGGAGGTACCTGGAAGATGAATTTCCTTTTGAAGGGACCCCCCGTCAGTTGCCATGTTAGTGGAAGGGAGGGTAAGTGTTTGGGGAACCGCGACAAAAAAAGCGACGAGCCACATGGACCTTTAGCGGTCACGAGAGGAGCAAGCAAATCTGCAGGTTGGGGCGGAGACATTTGATTGAGGGCAAGGGGATGTTTGATTTGGGGAAATAACATGCACCAAAATAGGGTGGGGGAAACAACATAAATAATTGGGGCTCAATCACTCAATTCTCCAAGATGAAGAAATAATCAATTATTATGGATCATAATGTCAACTAATAATAAATCTCCATTAAACAATCAATCAATCATCAATCCAATGATGCACCAACCACTCCATTTTGATTTGGGGAAACCAAATGCACCAAAATAGGGTTGGACTGCCATCTGTAAAAAACATGCCTGAGTTGGAAGCGTCCAGTTTGAAGATCGCTAAGATCCCAGGACAAATAATTCCCTTGTTTGTCATTTTTCCAAAGGGACACCAAAAGGAAAACCACACATGTTTGGGGTCCCCCGCAAGACAGGAATTTCCAGGGAGCGCTCCCAACTAAGCATAGCCCTCCACTCGACTACATATCATTCTTGGGCCAAATAGCAAGGGTTCCAAACAGTTGACTTTTGAAGCCCCACCTTCAGTCTTTTTCCATAAAATCACACCATGTCACACCAAGATGAGATGTACCAACAGGCGTGAATAGGCATGGATGGTTCGGCCAATTCTTGTCAACTAGGTGTGTTGCATTCTTTGGATTTGAGAGGAAACCACAAATCCAAACGGCATGAAGCCAACCATTTGCTCTTGACTTGCTATATCAATATCCTATCACCATGTTCTTGGTTTTGACGCCGTCACCAGTGCCACTTCATTGGCTCCGAGCGAATCTTCCTTCGGGCCCCATCTTTGTTGGACCTACCCAGCCTTCGAAATCAACAGGGGAAAATCAACCACTAAAAAACGCACACTAAAAACTATGTGAAAAAAAAGCTCAGGTGGTATCCCCAGCCCCATAACCCCTCCCTGAAACTTACTCCGAACCACCCCGATCGAGCCTATCTGGGCAGCGACCCCCATAGCTGCCAGCTAAGCAAACACTGGGCTGCCCTCAGAAAACCCTCCCAAAAGCCACGAACTGGGTGAAACTCGGGGAAACAACGTCACTCAACAGGAGAAGGATCTAAAAAGCCTTCTGGAGCCGGATCCCCTTCGGCTTCGCCCAGATTCCCTTGATGTCCATCCCCTCGGAGTCCCTCATCTTTTCGGCCTCAAAAAGCCTCCGCTGCCTCCAAAGGTCTCCTTGATGCCAAGTGCCCTGATCCGAAACGGCCTACACCCGAGCGGCTGAGGTACCTTCCCCATTGGGCTAACAAGAACGCAGCAAATGCGTTTTTGGGGCACTTTTCTTGGGTTTGTATATCTAGTTTGAACCGTCCTTCGAAATTGTTTGTCCTTTTTGGTTGAACATAGATGGGTTTCCCGGGTCAATGGAATCAAACCAACCAAAACCAGTGGAACCCATCTAGTCTAGCCAAAATCACCTAAAAAGGACGCCTATGCTTGCTCATGTGTTCCTGGAGTCTCCTTCCGACCCCCTAAAAGTGGGTTGTGAAGGTCATGACCCCATTTTGAAAGGGCCAGAAGGAGACTCCAGGTTCTCGTTTTTGTTCCTGTGTTGCGTGTTCACGCATGAGCTTCAAGCCATTGCGCGCCCGAAAGCCATTGCGCTTTCAGGGCTGAGAACATGTCATGGTCTACCTGCTGTGTGGATGGACTTAAAATCCACTTCGCACCGGTGCGGTGCTCATGAAGCCCCATGATTGCTGGACATCCACGGGCCTAAGCTGGAACAAGTGCCCCAACAAGGGAGGAGGAGGTGTGATATTCTCCACCTGAAACCTACCCCCCAAGCAAAAACATGTCATGTGGCTTCGTTTCGGTTTGTTTTAGAAGCGCTGTTTCACTGTCTTGTCAGTTTGCTTCGCGGGAACCTCCCCGGGAACCTGGAAACTGCCCGGCTTTTAGCTTGCCCCAAACAGGATACACTGAAGACCCATGGGTGTCTTTCATTTCGGACCCCCCAAAGTCGGCTTTCCCTTGGGTTTCCTTTTAAAACCACCAAAAAGAATGTGACCAACTCAACAAAGACGAGCCCATATCTGGCAAAACCCGAGCCAACTCCACTTGCGGCCATTGGAAGGAATTGGCAACTGGTAAACTCATGTAAAACCTAGAGGTATACGGATGTCGGAACCCCTGAAAAAACACCGGGTGGGTAAAGGCAGCCCAAAGGCAAGCTATGGATTCTTGAGGGAGAAAGAAAGCTAGCCAAGAACATGTACCCAGCTACCAAGAGATTTAGAAAAGCAACTTCAAACATGTACCATACTATGTTGCTTCAACCAATATATTCTGGAATAGCAAAGTCGTTAAGACCCAAACTTGGACCAGTTCTCCGTGAGAAAGATTCCCAAGCTGCAAACATGCGGGCGTGATCATGGGAATATGGATGTGGGTCAAAAATAGGTACCCAAAATGGAACCTGGCAAATGGAAACATGGATTAAAACCTGCAGTCCCCTAGTGGTTTAATCTTGGCCCGTATCCATCTGGTGTGGTGCGGGCGGACCAGGTGCGACTCGAACCCTCCGAGGGTTCGGGACCCCAAGTGAAGATGTGTTCCTGCGGTTCTTGCTTGAATCTCGCATCGTGGGAAGCTCGGCTAACAGAAACTAAAGCCGAGAGAACTTCTCAGAAGCGAGCTTTTCGAGAGGAAGTTCGCCGTAGGCCCGGCCCAATTCTTTGAGAGGAAAGCCGGTTGCAATCAATTTCCCCTGGTGCCCTCTCAGGAAGCTTGCAGGGATCGCCCTCGCCCAAGAAGGTAAACGGGGGATGCACATGTGGGGGTTGATCAAAAGGTTCTTTACGTCGGATGACCATTGGGAAAGCAACTCACAAGATGATATTTCCCACTACATGGGACAAGTTACCCTTGGCCATGGGGGCCAGGAATATGAGTCAACCGTCAATGTGTTGTTTAGGCCCGAGACAGCCACCAGTGATACCCAAAAACCTTTCACGTGAATGTGTCTTTAAACAAATGAAGCCCCAACAAATGTTGCTTCCTTTTGTCTCCCAGTCTTACTTCCATGGGTTGGGCAAACAAAGTCCACACTAGCTATTCACGACTAAAATCTAGGTGCTCCAGTAGAGAGGTTAGAATAAGGCTACCAACTTTTTCTGTAGTCCATTTACCTCCGACGCCCCTCCACATATTCATTTGTAGGCACTGTGCATTTCTGTCCGTATGGCACCCCCGAAAATGGCGAATTGCTTTCTTTTTGGTCCTCATTCTAAATATCCCCCCCAAAGAAAAAAACAACTCAAACAAAGACGCACCCAGTTGATTCTGGGGCTGCCATCAGATCCCCCGCTAAAAGTTCAAAAAAGGTTAAACGGAAACTACCACTAAACACTAAGAGGGCAAAAAGCTAGGGGGATGGCTGGGAGCCACCAAGGTTTGTGAAGCCAAAAACGACCGCCCCCCCCCATTAGCCGGCCCCGTTGTGCATCCCACTTCCCCCCAAAAAAGGGTGAGAATCGGCACTACTGGGAGACCTAGTCTCCATCAGGGGCTCCCTGCCCAATTTAATGAGCTCGCCACAGTTGCGACTCCTTACACCTGCATACTGGAGTATCATACTGCTCAGGCATGGGTGAGCTAGCAGCTAGTTTGAACCACCTCCTTTTTGGCTTCCCTTTTTAGAAGCCCAGGGCCGGCTTGCTGAAAGAATGTCCACATCCGAACTGAGGCCCCGGCACGAGGGCCTCCTTCATAGACCCCCCGGCGCTGACTTTGAACCTAGTGACAAAAGTGACTCACGGGAGCCTCAGGTAAGTCTGCGACGGTCAACCCTCCCAGGATTGAACAATGGGGCTGTCTTGTGTCTTTTTTGGTGGTACCACTGTTGGGGTTGGTTTAAAAAGGAAACCACCAGGAAACCGTGCCATTTTGAGGGTTTCCCTATTAAGACAAACCCGATGGGCGCAAACGCTGACCCAGTCGGGTTACTAACCTCTGAAGTGACGCTTGTGTCAAGGAGGAGGTAAAGGAGTCTTGTTCCTCACTTTGGAGGCCCACCCCACGAAACACATCAACCACTCGGGAAGGGCAGGTTGTAGGAGCAGTGTTAGGAAACTCACGCTGCCAGTGGGAGAACAGTTGAACAGACAGTCAACCAAAAGCCGCAGTTATCCAAACAACCAACCCAAAGGCAAACCAACCAAACCAAACCAGGGGAAAGTTGTTGGTATCAACATTGGCAATGATTTCATCTATCTGGAACCAACAAGCTGATGGCTAAAGACTGAACATGTGCTGCCAAACAAGCAGACATGTTGACATGCTGCGACCAAGCAATTGGTTCACGGTGAAACAGCATTATCCCGGAAAGTGGTAAGTGGCAAAACCACTTGTTGACCAGTCAAATCAAGTTGACAGCGCTCAAGTATGCTCGGCTGTTTAACTGCGGCAAAGAAGTTTAGACTAAGAAATTAATAGTTTCCTTCTGACCAAGTGTTCCTTTTCCTCAGCCAAATGTTCACCATGCAAAAGGTTTGTGTCCCGTGGTACGTCGAACCACACACACACACATTGTCCCGGTCCCAAACGAGTGGATAGCCTGGAAGCAATCAATTTGACCAAACAAGTAGAGGCTCGAGCAAACCAAGGAGACAAGAATCAGACCTTGTCCGACCTAATTGATGGCTGAAACAGGTCCATTTGGGCAACTTGGGTGACAATCATTTGGGTGTGTCTTTCTTTAGGGACCCCCAAAGTGGTTTTCCTTGTGGTGTCCTTCCAAAACCATCCAAAACGGGTAGCCTCCAAAAAAAGACACACCCATTTTAACATGTGTTAACAAAAAAAAACATAACAAACGGCTCAGAGCCATAGCGTTTGCCAGTGGGAAAAGTATGGTTTTGAAGGTGAATCAATGGCATTGCAACCGAATGATTCCCATGCGAAAAGACGCCTTGGCCCCTTGATTTTTTGTACAGATTCGGAACCCAACAAGGAGGTCCCTCGCAAAGGAGATTCCGTCTAAAAAGCCATTTTGGAGGTTTGGGCTTCCGCGTCCTCGATTTGGTTGGGAATCCATGGATGGTTTTGAAGGGCAAGCAAAATAACAATTTTAGGGAGTGAGGCTTGAGACAGACTGGCTTTGCTCTGATAGGTCTTTAGGCAATGAACCCGGTCCATCCGGAAGAGATCGCCGAAATGGGCTCCATTTCCGGCCACAAACCTAAGCTGCAGCTGGTTTCCTGGCTCTCCTCAGGTGTTGAGTTACCCTGGCAAAAAAAAACGGAAACCCTTTTTGGGGAAGACCATTTTTTAGTGGGGCAGCCACCAAAAAAGAAGGGAACAAGAAACAACGGAGTCTCTTTGGTCAAAACCGCTTCTATCAAGACCGACTTGAATCCTCCCTTCCAGCGGCTTAACATGCCACGTTTCCGGGACAAAAAACGCGCGTGGCGTTGGGCCGGGGGAAAGGAAAACGCAACTTGGTTCGATACGCACATGAGAAATGGAATGACCCCAAACCATTCCAACTGGTGTCCGTTGTTTTTTTCGGGAATCCCCTGGGTTCAGTCCCAAATTCCCGGTCTCGGTCATTCCCTATTGCACCGATAGAAATGCCTTGTGAGCTGGAACTCCGGAAAAGGAGCCCTTGGATCCAGGCACGCACTGGTTTCTTCTTTTTCACCCCCCAAAAAAGTGGTCTCCCTTATTTTATTTTTGTTTTACTCTTAGACAAATCCCCTTTTTCTAGGTATGAACTTCTGCTTTCCTTGGGCTTTGGTCTGTGTCTTTCGTCAAAACGATGACCCGGCGTCGTCTTCGTTTGCTGTTTTCCAAGGCGCCGGGGCATGCGTAGCTCCACCTCCATGGGGCGCATGGCATGGAAGACCTGCTCGAGGTCAAAGCCTTGGCGATGCCCAAGTTAAAGCCGCAAAATGGTAGTCCTCCGTGTGGTGGTCCTTCCAAAACCCACCAAAAAGGGGTATCAAAAAAAGACGGGCACCGAAACCAGATGGAACTTTTCATTCGGAACTTCCCAAGTGGAGAGTTTTCACATAAAATGGTCCAGTCCCAAAAAGTAAGTCCGAAGCGAGTTTGTGTTGAGAACCTGACGTCCAGTTGCCAGTTGCCAGTTCCCAGTAACGAAATTGGAGGACCAACTGTCCAGAAAGGGTGTAGCTGTTGCGGATCCACCGAAGGATATTCAAACAAACAACCCTAAAAAAAGGGCCAAGAAGGAGAAGAACCGGGGGCTAGGTCCTCCAGTAGACTCCAGTTTTGCGTGGTTAGAATAAGGGTACCCACTTTTTTCTGTTTACAGTACGGGAACCCTCCCAACCAAACAAGAAATGGGTGAGAAAGGGCACCAATTTCTGGGGACCTGGCAACTGCTTGCCTGGATCTTTAATGTTGACCCCGGATTTTAACTCACCCCTGTGTATTCATGGGGGGTTCCCCTGCAAAAAGTTTCTCACCGAAGATCCCACCGAAGGCCAAAGAGCCCTCCACCAGCTTCTCGAGGCCGCCCGGGCCTGTCTCCTCGCATTCCAACGGGTCCCAAAATGCCAAGGGTCCTTTGGTTTCTCATTAATGCTAACCCCGGATTAATAAACCCCGGATTAATACTTGCCAGGAACCAACCAGACACCAGTTGAAGTGAACCATAGTGTTAACCCCGGAGTAAGTAGAACCCCTGGTTGATTTTGATTGGGGGGTGTCCAGTTTTTAGTGGGGCTTCAGACCACTTTTGGAGGGAACACCCCTAATAGTGGGACAGGTTTATTAATCCTGGGTCAACATTAAACCAAGCTGAACTCGGCGGTTGAATGGGCTCAAGAATGTCTACAAAGCGCTGAACATCCCACTTCGGCGTGTCTCAAAATCATGATCGGGTGATTTCCTTTCGGTGTCTCATTGAATACCAAGCGAAAGGGGCCCCCCAAAAGAAAAAGAGCATAAAAACAAAAACGACTCCTAATGAAGGCAACCCCCCCCCCAACCCCCGCCAAAAACAATACCAGAAACCCTCCCCCCAAAAAAATATATGAAAGAAACCTGGCACCCAACTCCCCTGGCGCGACTTCTCCGACTTCGTCCAATTCGGCCTTCGAATTTCCACACATATTCAATTGGGCAAGTCTGGATCACTATAAATGAGCTCTCTTTTGAACTTGAAAACGTCCAGCAATGGAGACCTGAAAACAAAAGCAACGCTACCCCGCAAGAAAATAGAAAAAAACACATCTTGAGGACTTGAACAGGACATAGCACAACAAATTTGAGGAAAACATTCGAGCTCTTCAGGGAAGACCCAAGGAAAAGATCCAAGGTCCAAAAAGGAAGCTCGCAAAGAAAACAAGAGAGAACAAAAAACACCTAGCAAAGGCCCAAGGTCCCAGAAAAGCTCCAAGGTCCAAGGTCCAAACACCCGGCCATGTCTTGAATCTTCAAAATGGGTCCGCCCCTAAAAAGGCTGAAGAAGCAAACCTTGAAACTTTGGTTTCCCTTTCGTTTTTTTTGCTTGAGCCCCCTGGAAAAAAAACAACACATGTTTCCAGTAGTGAAATCGACTCCCCTTGACAACCAAATGGAAGCTTTCAGCCAAGCCAAATAAAACTTTACCGCAAAGTTGAGGAAGAACCAAGCCATTTCAGACCCCAAAGAAAGAAAACACAAAATGGCCTTACATGGGCAAAGGAAACCCAAACGAAACCAACCAGTACGTCCTCCAGAAGAAAGGTTAGAATAAGGGTACCCTGTTTTTTCTGTAGTCTATTTGAGGGGGAACCCTCCCCAAAAAAAGGGGGAGAATCGGCACCTAGCTGGGGGACATAGATCATGTTTTGTGTTTTGGACTGGGGCCAGAATTTACAGCCTCAAACTGAACCCCAAATTTCACCTGATGGACCCCGGCCAAATTGGGGGACAACCGAGCCTCACAAAAAGAACAGAAGGATTCTACACAGCTAGGTCCTCCAGTTTTGCGAGGTTAGAATCAAGCTACTTTTTTGTTCTGTAGTCTATTATTAGGGGAACCCTTCCCCAAAAAGCGTAAACGGGCACTACTGGGGGACCTAGAGAGGTTGAATCTACAGAGGTTTCGGTGTCAACCTTCGGGAACAGGTTCTCTTTTTGTTCCCTATTGGTTCCCTTCTGGTTCCTTCTGTAACAGGTGTCCGTGCAAGGAATTTTGTCTTAGCTTCGGACCCCCTAGGTTCTATTGCTTGTTTTTGGCACAGGGGTGCTTCAGCTTTGAGACTCAGCACTTCGGGTTGGGCGCTCACTTTTGTGCGCGATCGCCGATCCTGACGCAGCAAGTTCACCATGTTTATTTAAAAGACGCTTGGCTAGTGACCAGCCCGCAAAAAGTGTGCACTTTTTGGGCCACCGCTAAAATAAAGGGAGAGCCACCAAGGAAAAAAATGTACAGTGTGTCCACTGACTGGGTGAGGAAAGACACTACTGGTCGTCCCCCATGTGAAACCCCACCAAAACACGTACACAAAAACATACAAAATCACGCGCCAGCACACCAAGAACCTTGTGGAAGAGCCGGGTCAACCAAACTGTTTGGATTGTTTCACCAGCCCAACCAAAAAACGACATACTTTTCGGATTCGGGGGGAAGGTCCTAGGGAAGGATTGGATTCAACAAAAAAGGGCGTGCTTTTCAGATTCTGGGGGGAAGGTCCTTGGGAAGGATGATGGTGGCCATGGTGTTCATGTCGCTGTACGGCAACTGCACAGCCTGGAACCCTGCGATGTCTGCATAGCTCAGGTTCTTCTCCTGGACACCGCTTGCCCAAAAATGGCCGAAGTAACAAACTTAAGGACAAACTACAAAAAGGCGTCCCTTGCCTGGCCCTTTAGCTTTTCACCCACCTTGACACCGCTTTGCCCTGGAAGGGGGGATAGAGGGCCCAGCTACAGAACTGCGGGGATCAAGACGTGAACCCTGTCTCACAGTAATCACTAAATTGACACCGCCTATCTGGAAGGTTTACATTTGAAAGGCTTTGAAGACCATCCTTGTTGACCCACGAAATGGTGTTGAGCTCCATTTGAGCCCCGTTTGCCTTTTTGAGCGAACAAAGAAGTAGGAACTGGCGGTGTCTTCTTTTGATGTGGGTGTGAGTCAAAATTAAACCACCAGGGGACCGCAGGTTTCAGTCCATGTTTCTTTTTACCAGGGTTAGGTCCCCCCCCTTTGTCTCCACCGAGTCCTCTCCAACAAAAACACCAGACCACAAGAGCAAAAAACGTCTGTCGCCTTAAGAATTATTTAACTGTTGTAAGCAAATTCTTCGCTTCGAGCAACCCCCACCCTCCGCACTCACGAGCTTACGACCGCTACAACAAATTTCTCCGCATCCTAGAGACTTCAACACGGTTGTGTGAATTCAAGCATGGTTTTTGAGTGGCTTGGGGCCTATGCTCAACAAGCTTTGCATTGAGAGCCTTATCCACCTGTGTGTGTGTCAAACTCCACTTGTCTGCGAGCCGATCCCGAGAACTCAAACATCGGTTCTGTTAACAAAAGCCAAGCCCCTTCCAAAAAGAAACCCGACGGGGGATTAAGCGAAATTGCTTATTCACAACCCAAAGAAACACAAAAGCATCACCCTTTCCGAGCCGCAGGGTGAGGGTACACTCAAAACACGAGGGCGCCAACATGAAATGTAAACCCAAGTGTGCGCCGGGCGGGACATTAAGCAAAACCACACTGGCGAGCTGCTCTGGCAGATACTGGCAGGATCCACTGGCGAGCTCTGATGGGATACTTGGCAGGATCCACTGGCGGGATACTCGGCGGGATCCACTGGCGAGCTACTTTGGGAGACTCAGGAAGATACTTGGAGGAATCCACTGGCGGGCTGCTATGGTGGGATACTTGGCGAGCTCTGGCGAGATACTGGGCGGGATCCACTGGCCAGCTGCTCTGGCGGGATATTCGGGGGACTGGCGGGATACTCGGCGGGATCCACTGGCGAGCAGCTCTGGCGGGATACTCGGCGGGATCCACTGGCGAGCTGCTCTGGCGGGATACTGGGTGGGGGCGTGGTGTAGAGCGGATTCCAACATAAAATCTAACAACCCTAACCCCTTCCTGTCGGGTGGGGAAAACATCGAGGATCTTATATTTGGTTCTCTCATTGCATTCCACATTTATCTGATTCTGGTGTTACGCATATCCTGCAATTATTTTTTGCATTTGTCGATTCATCATTCCCTTTAGGATTTGGAAAATCATGTTAATGCACAAGACACGTAATAAGTAATTTACCATGTGTCTTTCTATTGGTACAGTTCATTGCATTCACATGTCTCTTTATGTACAAGCTTTTGTTTTATCTTGTTCACTCTCTTTTTCATGTCATGTAAACTCTCAAGTAAGAACCAACAAAGCCAACAATTTTCAACTTTGGGTTTTCCTTCAAAACCGCCAATAAAATGGTAGGCCATTTCAAAAACGACACGCCACCAGAAAAACAAATGGTGTCCCAACTCAAAGAACATGATACGCCGCCGGAAATCGGTTGCTTTCTGCTCCCCTGCCAAAAGTTGAGAACTTTTAGTGGCTTAATGCGGAAACCCCATTGGTTGGCAAAAAGTTGTTCAGTCCTAACATCCCTTGGCAAAATGCACCAATGCCATGGGTCGGTCTGGAGTTTGTACTCCTTATTGGTACTCCTTATTGGTACTCCTTATTGGCTCCTTATTGGCTCCTTATTGGTTTTGGAGTTGACACGCCACCGGAAATCCCCCGAAATCGCCCGAAGCCGTCGCTCCTTCTTTAACATCATGTCGCAGGGCAGCTTGCCCTTGAAGGACTGGAACTTCCCGGGTGTAGTCCTCAGAAGGGGGCGGCACCCATTTGAAAGGAAACAGAGAAACACCAGGCACCTGTGCGGGTTTTCTGTTTTTCCTAGTTTGGGAGAAGGCATATATTGAAATATGAAGATGTGTTTTGTTGGTTTGCATTCCATTCCATGAAAAGTTCCCACCCTTCTACAACCAAGAGGAAAGCGGCTGGTTATCCACTGGCCCACGCTAATCAGCAGGAGCAGAGTCTGGAAAATAGTGAACCCAGAAATTCTGATGTGTGAGAGAGGGAACAAGACAACCCCAGCACAAGGAAATACCTTTGCTCTGTGACCGAGGGCATCTCCAAAATGGCTTCGCTTTGAGTCCTTGAAACATCCATTTGAGAATACGCCCCTTGGAAAACCAGAATATATCTGCATGCTCTTAATATAAGACCAACCGGGGAACAGATATTGTTTTGTTCGTTTAAACCACTTCATTTAAGCAACCCAACAAATCGGCTAAACAAACTTGATTGCTGTTGACCCCTCTGCAAAAATATAAGTTTCTAAGTTCTGGGTCCAATGGAAAACGCGTCACTTCCCCAAAAGCTCAAGTCCAAAGATCTGATTTGCGGCTAGAATAAGGGTACCCTTTTTCTGTAGTCTATTTCAGGAGACGAACCCTCCCCAAAAAAAAGGTAAAAGGGAACTATTGGCCATGGGTCAAACTCCCGTACCCCGAGTGAACATCCCAATCCCCACTAAAATGAAGCCTAAAATGGGTGGTGAATTCACCTACCCAAACTGGGATCCCATTGGTTTTGACAACCACAGCCACATAGCCCCAAAGAAACGGTACCTTTTTTGTGTAGTCTATTTTAGTAGGGGAACCCTCCCACCCAAAAAAGAAACAGCAAAAGGGCAGCTGAAAGACCCGGGTTACACAGCGACAAAGAAAAGGTGTGCTGGTCGGCTCAGTGTCTTGGCGGCATCGAAAGTGCTGGCCCACGAGCCCTTGAAGTAGATGGTGTTCACCAGCACCAGCACCGTCAAGGGATCCAGCGGGCCCTGCACGTTTTTTGGGAGGTGACGAGGGGGCGGAGAAAAACTGGGCTGCCCGTTTTCAGATCCCCTGCGAAAGGTTGAGAACTTTTAGCGGGTTAAATTCGGAAACTGCCACTAAACACTAAAAGGATCTAAAAAGCTAAGGAACCGGATGGCTGGGAGCCACCAAGAAAAAAAACGGGCAGTCGTGTGTGCCCAGAGGTTGATCCCCATAGATAAATGCCAGGGGGTCCCGGCCCAAATTTTGACAAAGGGTCCGGCCTTGCGTTGGGAAGCCCTGGCGATTTCAAAACAGTATTTGCAAGGGTCCCCGCAAACGCCGTAAAGTTTCATGGCAAAAACAAGGCTTAACTGGCTCTTTTGGGGGTGTGGCATGTAGGGTCCCTTATTGAGAAAACAAGAAGGATGGTTGACGGTCTTTGCTGTATCCAGATTAAGGGAGGGCAGCCACAAATACCATCAAACTGACGAAAAAAAAACAAAAGAACCCGTATATCGGTGTGCTTAAGGAAGATTAGGGAAGCCAATTCCGGTGGACTATATATATAAATAACAATATTCATATGTATATATATATATGTATAATATACATATATATATATTATAAGTTTGTTTCCTCGGATGGCGCGGATAAATGCGTTGAGTTACAAACATGGCGCTCAACAAATAAAAGCCACCACTATTCCTTGAGGGGCCGGGGGGGGGGGTTGTTTAAACCGATTCAAATGTTGGCCCTGTGTGACGGACTTGGGTGCGTAACATGCGATGCGGACACGCGCAGCTAGATTTCGAAGCGCTTGTCTAGGTGAGTTCCATCTCAACTAGGGTTCTCCACCCTTTCGGAAGAGCACAACCAACTCTTTCAAATCCCATTCCCCTGCTTGCGAATTAGTTTGCTACAAACACAGGTCCATTAAGCAAGGGATGGAGACGGGGCGCCAACAAAAAAACCTGGCGCGTGCGTGCGTATCTATTAGGAATTGATTAACTCAAATACCCTGGGTTCCCTGAGGTCGAGGCCCCTTTGTTGTCCCACACCAGCTGAGGTGTAGAAAGGCTTGAGGGAAACGTTTGCATTCCAAGCGAGATGAGGGGTTCACATGCGTTTGACAGCCACTTGCAAGCCAGTGACCTGGAACACGTCAAATGATAGTTGCTTGGCTTGGCCGTGAAAACCGTATGTCTGTTTTATGTTTGCGACAAAAGGCGTATTTTTCTCTCAACAAGAACGAGGCTGGCGTTGAACAACTTAAGCAGGCGTCATCTTGTTAACGCGCTCAAAGCAACCAGGCTCCAACATGTCAATGGGCTTTTCTATGTGCAAGGTGTTCCTCTACCGACAATTGCTTCCTTTCATTTGAAGGCCAACCTAGCGGCCACAGGTTACGGGGAGGGAAATTGTTTCCCCTGACTCTTACCTACATTCAGCTTGTCGCAATATCAGCCCAGATCACCTGACAGGGTGCCCCCCTTTAGCATGACCGTGACGGAGCTGCGTCAGCTTCCGCCCGCCTGGGGGCCCCGAGTCCCCGCGGTGGCGGGTCGCCGCTTTCGGGTTGTTTATCTTGTGTCGGCGGGGCGGCGTTTGCGAACCACGTTGGTTTAGCTTCAAAGGCGTCCCACGCATGCTTGCCTTCAGCGCCACCCTACTTTAGTTCGCACAGGCGAGCCGAGAGGTGACGCGCGAGATAGCCTACGCAACGTTGCTTGCAGGGGGTCGTGCGAAGCAAACAGATCCTCCTAAATTTTCTTCATGTCTTGAAGCATCACCTTTAGCCGACTGCCGGCCCGGCGCGCCGCTTGACCTACGCCGAAGCTTCGGCTTCGGCTTGGGCGAGCCCTTGCGCCCGCTCGCTTTGGGACTTTGGGAGAGCTTCGGCGCCGTCGGCGAATTTGCAAAGCGCCGCTGTACCCTGTGAATCCGTCAAGACAATTAGCGGGGGCAAGACAATTTTTACCGTGAAAGTTAATTTTTACCGTGGGCAGTTTTTTTACCGTTGCCGTTGCCGTTGCCGTTGCCGTGAAAAGTTATTTTTTTAGCGGGGGAATTGCCGTGACTGTTGCCGTGAAAAGTTGCCGTTGCCGTTGCCGTTGCCGTTGCCGTGAAATATTGCCGTTGCCGTTGCCGCGTTTTGTGGGTTTCAGCTGGCGAAGTGAGCAACGCAAACGCAAAAGCAAATGCTGCGCCGGCACCAAATGCATGCACGAGCTTGTCCGCGAGATGCCGCCTAAAGCGCTTCTTTTCAGCTCATGCAGCCCGCGCTTAGTCTGGTCATCTGCATCTCAAGAGCGAAAGAATACCGCAGCATGGCCTTGTTGACTGCGCCAACAGGCGTGTTGCCGCGGCAGCCTGGGCTGCAACTAGGGCGGCTGACCGCAGAGCAATAAACGCAAACAAGCAAATGCAAGTCGGAGCGACAAGCGGCACGCAGCTAGCACGACCTTTGCCTTTTGCATGAGGTCCTCCCCGCTGTAGCACCAGGACAGCCTCGGACTGCAGTGCTTGCTCAGAAGCGCCCCGTGGATGGCGTAGTGCATCTTGATTGTGACGTTGAACACGCGTTCGCCTTGCTCCCAGTGGCGCTTATGAAGGGCTGTCTGCATGGCAGCGTAGTGGTAGTGCAGCTCGACATACCGCTCGTGCGTTTGGTCGTCAAAGAAGAGCTCACCACGAGCTTCGTCGAGAATTACGTCGATGTCCTGGCGGGCTGGCAAGGACGGTGGGCTTGCGCAAACGCAAACGCAACTGCGCAACCATGAGCGGGGCTGCTTTGGTGGGTGTCCTTGCTGCACTGCAAGCCAAGTTCGATCTGCTCAGCGTAAGTGCTGCGGAGGCCGTGCGCTTCTCGCAGGCGGCGCCATGCAACCAGCAAGGCCGGCGTCATTGAGCGAACCTCTGCGGCTTTGCCTTTAAGTTTGGGGTAATCGCCCCGCTTGCCCAGAAACATGGTTTCCCGCAGCTGGCCGAAGTGGTTGCCATCCCTGGCTTCTCTCCAGTGGGCTTTGCACTGCTCGAAGATTTGCGGCAGGGGAGCGTACTGAAGCATTACTTTCAGAACGCCGCCGAGGAAGTACGCATCCATGCCCAAGTGCTTGTTGTGCATCACGTCCGGGTAGTAGCACATCGCCGTGATGCCGGGCGCGCGCCACAGTGGGTTTTGGCTGGCGCTGCCAAAGCGGCGCTGCCAGACCGGCGTGGTGTGAACGGAGGACTGCCAGCGGGCACCTGGCCGGCAGTCCAGGAAGTTCAAGCCCGCGCTGCGGTCGGCGAGGCAGAGGCAGCAAGGCTGCGAGGCGGAAGCGTGCTGCAATTCCAAGGATTTGGATAAGTAGTCAAGGTCGCCGCGCAGCAGGAACACCACGCCGCGGTAGCCGTCTGCCAGCGGGCTGCCTGCGAGGCGCGCTGCGGTGGTGCCAGCTTCGTGAGGACGCCCTCTGTCATCAACATCAGGCCAGACCTCAGTCAGCTGCAACACAGAATGCAGCGCAGTGCCAGCGAGTCGCGCAGCTGCAAACGCAAACAGCAAAGGCAAAGGCAAAAAAAAAGCTACGGCTGGCGCCGGCTCAGCGCGACAGACATGGGCGACAACTTAGCGGCCGGCGCCGTTGAAGAGAGCTGTGAGGGACCACGTCAGTTTGCGCCAGAAGGCGCGTGTTGTGTGCCCGCCGCTGGCCTGCGATCGGGCGAAGAGCATGGCCACAATGAAGTTGGTTTCCTTGGTGGATCCCTGGGCCACAAGGCTGCAGAAGGAGTAGATGTCAGCAGACTGCTGGTAGCTCTTTCCTGCGCCAACAATCGGAACGCCATCCCCATGCAAGCTGAACGGGATGGTTTTGTCCAGCGCGCAGTGTTGGTCGCGTAGCAGAGGGTGGCTAGCCATTTGCGGCGCGCCGGCAACTCGTCGCCAGAAATCGCCGAGGTCAGCTACGCCGCGGATGCGGGCGATCCACTCCTTGGGGAAATGCTTGTAGACTGCGCTGAAGAGTTCATGTGGCCACCTCACAGAAGCGCGCATGTTTGCAAGACAGCTCGCAGCTGCGTAAACGGCTTTGAACAACTACCTTTGCTGGGGCACAGCATATGCAGGGTTGCATACTGAAAGGCCCCTTGCAGGGTTGTAGACGCTGCGCGACACGGCATGCGGTACAAACCAGGCGCCAGCACTGGCTGCGGCAACAGCCGCTTGAGATCTCTGTGCGTGTTGGCGGGGTACTTGCCGGAGAACCCTAGGGCAGCCTGAGGCGAGCGCAGGCTGGCCACCTTTCAACTCAAGGCCCGGAAGAAAGAACTGATACTGCAAAACTAAAATAGCCCGGCTGCGAGACGTTGGACGTCGCTGGGGCAGTTGGCTCCAGCGCGCTCAAAGTCTTCTTCTGCAGCCGCAGCTATGGCTTGCAGCTGCGGAGCGGACATGAAGCCCCAGGACCAGCTTTCAAGCAGCAGCCGCGCAAGGCTGCTTTCGCAGGCGTGGCCATCGGCTGCTTGGGCGGCTCTCAGCCGCTTTCTACACCCTTGCCTTGTGGCCATGGCTGCAGCGAGCAGTTTGGCAGTACTCAGCACCAAGGCGCCCAACACGCACACAGCTGCCCATGTTCGCCGCATCTTCAAAAGATGCAAAAGCAATCCAAAAGAAGCAAGCGCAAAATCACAAGCAATGACTGCGCGCCCTTCCCTTTTGACAAGATGATCGGGCGTCACGCCGCAGTTCGCGCGGCAAGCGGGGACATCAGTCGACAGGCTTGAGCGCTTTGCACATCTGGCAAGCTTGCTGCAAGTGGAGCACCTTGGCGGCGCAGGACCTCAGCAAGGTCTTGCAGGACTCGGGACCAGCGGCTTCGCCGCCAATGCGGCCAAACGTGTTCAGCTCTTGCAAAGACTGCAGGCACTGGAGCACTGCCTGCATTGCTGCCTCCAGCTGTTCCCGGCACGTGGCAACCATGGGCGACTGCGGCATGCCGCTCAATGCCTGCAGCGCCTTCTGGGACTCGCCGAAGATCTTTTG